CATCCGGTCACATGGGCGGCAAGCCACTCCCATCCGGTCACATGGGTGGCAAGGGTCAGTGGTGGGTTTCAAAATATTTTGGAAGCTCTTCTGTAGGTGTGGCTTGCTTTCTGGGTCCACTGGTGGAACCTCTTCTAACTGGTTCGGTAGATTTGACGAACCGGTTCTACCGAATAGGTGCGAACTGGTAGGAACCCACCTCTGTTGCCACATGACCATGGAAGTGTCTTTGGACAACGCTGACTCCCTTAATCAAAAAATGGAGATGAGAATCATGCCCTAGAGTCAGACACGTCAGTCAGTCAGAAACCTTTACTTTTTTACAAATAAAAAGGAGCAGAAAAGCATCTCTGAAATATGTAACCCAACAGTGAAATTTCTCAAGTATCTGTAGCTCATCCCAGGAAAATAATAGCTTAAAGCTTTCTTCTCTCTTATTCTCTCTATAGCAATTAGTTTTTTGTGTTCCTTGCCAGAGGCAGATGGGAGTATTCAGATTTGATATTCATATTCATAGATGTGTTTGCTATCTTTCATACCCAATTATAGCCCTGTGTCCTTAGTAGACCTTGCATTGTGTTTTTCCCCTTAGGTTGTTTATATCAGTGATACTAAATGCATTAGCTGTGGAGATATGCTTTTAAATCTTCAATATGTTTTACAAAGCAATGGAAGAGCCACTAATGAAAGCCTCATGAAATAATTCTTAGGATCTTGATTTTCTGGCTCTAAGTTTAATAACTCTTGTTTTAGGAGGTCTTAGATTTTGATCCACCCCAGCGGGAAGGTAGTTCACAAATGGAGTCCATGAGTTTTCAAACTGGCTTGCAGTGAATCAATATGAGCTTTCTTTGGTTCCTACTGTGATGTTTGGCAAATCAATTCTAAACTGTTCAAATTTAACGAGAACTTTCATTATTTGGCAAAAAGTAATGTAACCAAGAGATTTCCTGTTGTGATGAGCTGAGATGTGAACCAGACAGTTATGAGCAGTGTGTGATGAATGTTTTAGAATCTGGGAAATAAGTCAGTCAAAAGAAGTTGGCAGATGGTATGAGAAGAATTTAAGAGGTCCCAAGACCCAACAAAAACAATGAAAAGCCATTGAGACGATATCCATATTTTTCATGTTTTTTGTTAAGTATAGTTTCCGAGAAGATGTCAAAAGTATTGAACAAATCTAATATCCCTTTTCAGAAACAATGGGAAGAGAAGAAATTCTGGATATCACATTTTTATGTTTATATGACAAATATATAAGACGATTTGCAGAATCTATACACTTGCTGGCTTCACACAATGTAGTGCATTGTGTTGTCTCAATTATATTTAAAAGTTTTAATCACTTTCTCTGGTTTCTTAGTTCCTATAACGATTCCCATATCTTGCTGGGGTTTAACATTGTAATCTTGGCTTCCTCTTCAGTTTTCACATACTGTATTATCAGAGCATATAAAATTGGTTTTTAATATAAAACATAAGTAGCCTAGCTAGCCCACAAGAAAAACAATCCAATGTTTATGTGTTCTGGCACCATTTCTAATGCTCAATGGGAAGAGGAAACCCAAGGAAGGCCTGGGTTGCTAAAGAACTCAAGATACACACGTATCTTGAGTGATAAATTGGGCACTCTCACCACTGTCTGTCCTGTCTGAATGGGACAAGAGGTTCCCTGTGTAAATATACAGTTTCTATTGCTTAAAATTGCTTTGTATTGTATTGTAATTGTGGTATCTATTGTTTATTATTTCTCTGAGATCTCCCCTGTGGTGATTCCTACCCTCAGATTGACAGATTAACAAAGTTGGAAGGGAGCTTATGGGTCCGTGATGGAGAAACTATGGCGTGCACACCATCGCCAGCTGTTCTTCTGGTTTTCGGCCCCCCAAATCGCCATAAACAGCCAAAAAACGGGAATGCTCACACCGGTCAGCTGCTCTTCAGGTTTCCAGTGCTCTGGCACCAGCGAAGACCAGCTGGCTGGTGCGCATGCACATGTCGGAAACCCAAGACCCAGCTGGCAGGTGCAGGTATGCCTGGTTTTTGGCTGTTTACGGCCGTTTTGGGGAGCGAAACCAGAAGATTAGCTGGCATGTACACTGGCCAGCTGGTCTTTTGGTTTCCGGCACTCCGGGGTGCACTCATGCACGCATTTTCCGGTTTGGGCACTCAGTGCCGAAAAGGTTCGCCATCACTGTTATAGGTCATCTACTATAACAGATGGCGCAATGGTTAAATGCAGCACTGCAGGCTACTTCAGCTGACTGCAGTTCGGCTGTTCAAATCTCACAGGCTCAGGGTTCACTTAGCCTTCCATCCTTCCGAAGTGGGTAAAATGAGGACCCGG